TAACAAGCTACTATATTCCATACAGATTTCTAAGCTTTGTTCTCTGGAAGGACAGAAAAGCAGTGGATCTTGACTAAGAAACACCATTCCATGGGTTGTCAGAATAGACCTTATAAAGGCTGGGAGAAGAGTCACATTTTCTCTGTGCTCCAAACAGTAAATCAGAAAAGAGGTTACTTCTCAGTTAAGACTACTGTACCACAAGACAGAAATCCATCAAACAAAGCACAGGACATATGCCACTGGGCACAGGAAAAATTCTGAGACAATTGTTTACTGTTCCTTTAAGAATAAAATCAACTCACATGAGAATCTCTTAGTGAAGAGGATTTAGGAGTGATGAAAGTTTTTATTGCAGCTTCCTTCTGATGGATCCAGTGTAAGCACACAGACATTTCTGACCTCATTAACCTGATTGTGTGCAGCATGATGAACACAGCTTAAGGATGATTTGTAATATCAAATTCTTGCTCTGCATAAGGATCTTCTTTTGTAGGAGGCCATGCATTGGCACTGCCCTCCATTCATGATTCATATTCCTTGGCCTTAGGCTATGAGTTTGCAAGGTGGAACCTTTGTTGTGTCCATATCTCTTCTGACTAATACTGTCTGGAAGATCAGGTTAAGAAAACAGAATTAGATGCATCAGGAATGGAGAAGCAAAACCTATGGCAAGAAATCAAAAATCTGAGACACTGTCTCCGAAATGAAGATGATCTCCTGATAGGTGACAAAACAATGTGAGGCTGTGCCAACTTGTGTACAGCAAAACCAGTCACAAACAGTGGCTGCCGTTTAGCTTTGCACACTTACAGCATTTTCCAGACTTCCTTGCTCTTAGGAAGGTCAGGAGAGGACAGGGTAGTGACCATCTTTTTGAGGCACAGCTGATTGACTTTTGAGAATGAGAATGGCAAATATGTGCTCGAAAGCAGATATGCAGATAAGCATGAAAGTCCCACTCAGCATTCAGCTCCAAAGCCAGATCCTGATTCTAAGAGAAGCTCGTGACCTAGAATGTATTTCCACAAAGGGTTAAATTATAGAGGTGTTGCCCACCTTCAGCTTCCACACAGTTCAATAGAAAGATTTCTAGGGTGTCCCTAAGCAGACTCAATCACCACCAGATTTTCTTCTGCAGCTGTGCCTATGCTACTTTTATGACAGCTGCACACTGATGTTTAGGGAAACAACTGGGAGATTTCAGAGCAGTCCATTACAGCAAAAAAAGAACAGAGCTTGCTACCAGATAGAGATTTCATTAGATGAGAAACAGCTTTACAGTGAAAATCATGGGAAGCTCTTTTCAAAACTTGCATCTTAATTAAAAGAAAACACTTCTTTTTCATTATGCTTTCTTCATATCTTTTACATGAATGTAATGGAAAACTGAAAACTCACACAGTATCTCTGGGAAACAAAAAAATAATTTGTCTGCCTTTCTGCAAAAGGCAGAAGTCAAATGTCTATCTGTATAGAAGGAATTTGTTTCATAGGCATTAGAATTACCAACCTTGTGAACTGAAATAAAAAGGATGAATAACACAGGGAATGTCTCTTCCTACAGATCATGACTCTAGGAGTTCACTAATATTTACATCAATTTATAATCTAATCTTTAATACATTCATGTCTCAGCAGTTGAGACAGCCAAACTCTTGTCTTTTGCCTGTAACTATTAAAATTGCATGTATGTATATCCATGGCCAGGAATTCTCAGGGACTTTTCCAGATTGAATACCAATATCCCATTTTTATGGAAAGAAAGCAGTACATAAAACTGAGTTCCTACTGAAATCAATCCAGAACAGCATGAGGCCCTAGTTACTTGCTGAGCATTATAGGGAACAATTGTGCTAGGTCTATGACCAAATAGTTGCATTCCCCACTCTGTACTTTTATCAAAACAATACCTTCTCCTTTTTCAGATAAATATAATTCTTTCCTAAATCGTATAAAATTGTCAACCCATATATATAGCCACCACCAATCTGTCCCTTAATTTAGGATCCATCTTTCCTTAGGGAACTATAAACCCAAACACTTTCATTTAAAACATAACCATGCATTTATAACACAGAAAAAAGTTTAGGGAACAGGTTTTGTTGGGTTGTTTATTTATTTATTTTAATCTAAATTATGTATTTATGGAAAAATAATTCCTGGCATGTAAGGTGAGATACCAGTTCTTTTAAAAAATTTATCCAAATCTAGAATTATTTTAATAAATACACACAGCAGAGTAATGAAGAGAAAATAACATCTTTTTCTTGACAGTACAACAGTCTATATGTTAAGGAACCACTTTCTGACCGGCACTTTAATGTCAGATGAAACATTCAATAGAATATCCAAAAGTGAGGCAAGAGATGGTGATTACCTTATGCAATTGCCTATGCCCAAGAATTTTAACCACCAATATTTCAAGGGGAATGGGACATCCAGAAGAGAGAGAAAATCCATTTTCTAGTCCTATGCATATGTGAAATAAAACTGCTAAACTGATTTAATTATGAAATAAAACTGCTACCTCTCTGCAAAATGTAGCTCACCTAAACCTACGTCTGTTGACGCAATATATCTCCTGATCAAAATGTCTTTGATTTTTACTAAGCTAAGGAAGGTTAATTCCTCACTGGAGGTTGAATCCTAGAAGAACACTTAAGTGCAGCTCCCAGAAGACCTCAGTAGTGTTATGTCACCCAAATCAGATCTTTAACACTTAACAAGGCTTGCCTTGGGAGAAATAAAGACAAGCAAATCCAGTCTCACCAGTGAGCTTATTCCAGACAGAAATGTGTCATGAATTAATCATACAAACAAACTCTTGTACCTCAGCTGGAATGGAATACTGTTTTTTCTTAAAAGGATGCCACAATCCCTATGGGACTCCAAGCTATTAATGTCTCTACTCACAAATGATGTTCAGTGCTCTAATGGGATACGGAAAATGCCAAAGCAACTCCTCTCAAGAGCGGCATGGCCAGAAATGAAAATATTTGCAAAACAATAAAGCCACAGGAAACCAAACCTTTTTCTAAGCTGTCAAGCAAAGAAACAAGAAACAAAACAGCTTGGTGAAAGCAAGTGGCCCTTTGCTGACAGAAGAGCCCCTAACAGCTGCTCTTTGCCTAAAGACCTCAGGGCTCTCAGAATGCCAATTACAACATGGGGAAGATGGATAATTGACTGGAGACCCCAAAATATGAATCCATCTGTTTAAAGTTGTCATACCATATAGAAAGTAGGTTTCTAGTAGTACACAGGATTTTCTTCACATTTACCATAGCACAGTGCAAGACTATTGCTATCAAGATGTATAGTGCCAGAGAGAAAAAAGAAACATTTTGGCCATTTGCTTATGGTTCCATTGGCCAGGGGAATGTAGACACAGGGATGGAAATGCTTGAGCTATTTTGTCATGGCTTCATTGGTCAGGGGAATGTGGGCACCTGCATTGCACAGCCTGGGCAATCTGCACACAGCTCTGCCAAACAAGGAGTTATGGGCATCTCTGATCTCACCAAGCAAGGCTGTTTGCAGCTTTGTAAGTAGCTGACAATAGAAGAGAAGAGAATTAAAAAGAAGGAAAAAAAAAAAAGAACAGAGTTAACCAAATAGAAAACACTGTGGACGCGTGGGAGAGGTACCACTGCCTTTGCTGGGTTTTGTGCAAAGCCTGGCAGCTGATTCTGTTACTTAAGGGCATTTGTCTCCCCATGTGCCATCAACATGCAAATGAACTATCTCCTAGGCATGTACCACCAAGCTCTTTGGTGGATTCTCGAAGCAAAAAAGGAGCAAAAGTATTTTACATGCTACAAGTATTTAAACTGATCAGTTCACTAGGAAGGAAGAAAAACTGAGAGAGAGAAAGAGGGAATCCCTGTGGAAACAAAGACTTCACTCTGGTAATACTGACAGAGTGAGTCAGACAGAGACTGTGACCACCTATAAAGCAGGACCAAAGAATCCCAAGGACAAATCCCTCTGCCATGATGGAAAATCTCAAGCAGAGGAGAAAACTACTATCAAATTTGAGTTAGCACATCTAAGCCTAGAAACAGTGCTAACAGTTCTCTGTTTCAATGGCAAGGACTGTGGTGTAGCCGTCCATTATCAGCCTCTCCCAAAAGCAACAGAAACAAGCACACCCCAAGAGACAGAGAAGGGTAGGGTGCTGATGAGCCAAAGTACAACAGCCACTGTTAAACACCAGATTAGAACTGTGATGCTCAGAACCCAACTGTTGCTGCTCTGGAGAACTATCAAACAGCAAAAATGCTGTGATGAAGGAGTAACAACCTACAGACACACAGCAAGCACCAAGCACCTTGGGTCCTGTGAACTCATTGCTCTGTAGCTGCTTCTAACTAATAACTAGCTACTTCTAACTAATTAACTAATCTGCTCAGTGTGCAGATAGGGCTCTCCCAGTGCTCATTTGCCCTAAGCTAAACTGTGTTTCCAGCAGAGTTCAGGTCACCCAGGAAAAAGTCTGACCACAGTTTCCACTTTTTTCATGGATGCCCGTAGTGCCTTTGTTTATCTGACTCTAGAACTCATGCTAAAGCCACGCTCCTAAAATGCTTCCAGAAATTGGGATGGCATTAACACTGTATTTATGCCAATAAACCTTGGATTTCTCTGAGTGACACTATTGTCACCTGGCTCAGAAACACAAGGAAGCAGACTTATCTTGTCCCTTGACATATTGGCTGAACTGCAGGAAGTGACAGGGCTCAGTAGCCCCAGGGAGTGATGTTTAAACAAAGGCATTTCCCATCTCACATCTGAGATGGGATGAAAGCAGGGGCACAGTCACTTGCTGTGGCTTGGCCAGCTGGTGGTAACTCAGCTGTCATGCTCTGGGATCAGCCACATCCCCACAATTGCTTATGCAGAGTCTTATAGCTTTTTCCTAAAAATTGTCTTGGGATATTTGCTGTGTATGCAGAGTGCTATTATCTGTTCTGGGATGTGAACCTTCTCTTTTTCAGGTGATTTATCGTGCCTTAAGTCCAGCTAACAAGATTGAAGACCCTTACAGTCCTGAGGCTCAGGATCTCCTGAAGCTCACCAACCTCCGCCTGCTCTTGTTAAAAAGACAGGAATGTCCATGCCATGGCTCAGGATTGGTAGAGAAACCCCAGAGATTTTCCCACTATGCTATTTATGACCTGATCATCCGGGGAAGCTGCTTTTGCAATGGGCATGCCGAGGAATGTGAGCTTGCCAACAGGACGGGAGTCGTGGAGAACATGGTGAGTTCCAGACATTTATCAGCGTACTAGACTTGCTACTTGCTTCTGCTGCCTCAGCCTAAATGTGAATTTTATGTGTGAGCCTGTCCCAGCCTCCCTAAGTCTATCCCAAAAAAGGGCAGCACAGTCAATCCATTACAGTGAAACCTACACCACTCTGGGAAAATATTCCCTATCCTCTTTTCTACAGTTTTATGTATAATAACTGCAAAAAACTCTGGAACTCTAAAATTCAAATAATTTGCTAAAATCTATGGACCTCAAGATACCTATAAATTGAAAGGGCTCTTTGTAATTGGAACAGAGATGCAACCCCAAATATAGTGAGTGAAATCTCCTACTGATATGCCTGCACAGAACTGAACTAATATCTTTGATGCAAAGTCTGCCCTGAGCAGAATTTCATCATCAGATCTGAGATTTTCTGAGTTTGTGAGACATGAGCAGTTCTGTCATAGTTAGGGTTCTAACCACCACTTTTAGGTTTTGTGTTCTTAGCAACATTCAGGATGTGAAAATAATTTCCTCTTTCCCACTCTTTTATCCATGCATCTTAAAATAAGTTAGAACTTTTTTTAAAAAAAAGCCAAACCTTTTAGTAAAATTTTTCTGTAGTACTTGGAGTGTCCCTTCCCTGTTCAATCTTTTATCTGCATTTGACACTGGATGTGCACAAGAGGAGCTGTGTTTGAATTCCTGCTCAGACATTGAAATTCAGAGGAAATGGCTGATGACACCTTTTTGATTTATCTGCAAGCGTTGTGTAGACAATTGTAATAACAGCCACAAGGAGATTTAATCTAATCAAATATCCAGGTACATCTAGACATACATCAGAGATGGAATTCAAGCCTCTTTAAACTAGTCAATATCTCCCCAGGATCCAGAAGTCTCTGTCTCTGTATTGGGTTTTGAAAATCCAAATAACTCTTAAAATTCTAGTCTCCAGTGCACTCTGACATAAAAGACTCAAGAAAAACATCCTAAGCTAATTTCTGTCCCTTTAGATACAGGGTACACGTGACATTTTGGTTTATGTCATTTTGGAATGTGTATTCATTGTCTTCCTTTCAACTTTCCCAGGTTCAGAGGTAGATATTGCAAGATAATTAAGACTGTATGACTTTCAAATAATTTCTGAATCTGTTCCATCTGTGGTATAAATCCAAGATTCAGCTACCCTATGTGATACTGTAAGATTCAAATAATATAGGCTCACTTGAATCATAACTGTGTGGAGAAAAGCTGTTTAAAGAGAGTATCTCTTAATATTCTTACTGCAAACTGTTAGACACACAGTGAAACCAAATAGATGAATAACACACTAAGTGAAAGCAGCTGGTAGAAAAAGAAACATTCTGCCCATCAGAAAAGGAAAACACAATATTGTGTATGTTACTGGCATAACCATTGTAAACCATGACTGGATATTTTTTCCCACTGGTCACAAGGGAACAGAATCTTTTTGTGCCATCAATGACTTCACAGGGCAGAAGGTGAAATAGTTTTGATGAAATGCACTTCACTAGTGACTCATGTCCCAGGAGAGAGAGGGTGGATGCAGCACATGATTTGCACAGATATTATCAAGTCTTTGTCTAAGCAAGTATTCAAACACAGCTGTGCAAAAAATAAGAAAGCCTTCTGTAGTTTTAACTGTCTCTAAAATCCTAGGGGAGGCCTGGAAAAGACCAGGAGTGGGCTGGTTTGTGTCCTCACATAAAGGTGTGATCAAGCTCACCTAAACCATTCACTAGTCAATTAGTGATTTTCCTGACAAAGAACACTCAAACCTTCAGTAGTTGTTCCAGCTTTAACATTTTGAAAACTCTTCTTTAGTGCCTGCTTAAATAATCTCTGCTGCAAATTAAGGTGATTCCTCCTTATCCCCTCTCTCAATGACCAAAGTGAGCAGCTGATCCTATTTCTGCAGATACCATTGGAAGGTTCTCTCCATATAATCCCTTATGTTCTATTTTTGGTGCTGACTAGAGAAATGTGAAACCTTACGCGGTAAAAATTGAAAATTCTACTTGCAGATCACACAAGCCTGGAGTAAAGATGATCATGCTACTGTATTAATCTTTAGACCTTACAACTTAAGTCTTTCTCAAATGCAAAAGAAAACCCATTCCTGAAAGAGCCTGATCCCTGGATCCTTTTCCATTTTATCTAATACTTACCAAAAATGATATTGTAGTGGTGAAGGGAGAGCTCACATAGGTCCAGATCTCAAGGTTTGGTTTACACAGCCAGCATGAGGGAGTTTATGTAAGGGTATAACTTTTTGACTTGAAACACAGTAATCTCCTTGCCTACAAGCAGGAGAAAAGGCCTTTGTTGTTGAAGGTTCAACATCAGTGATAAAGTTCCTATCAGCCAAAATACACTGCAAAACTTTGCCATTTTGCAATTTCTTGTCAGAGAAAAGGTGCTCTGCTTTCAGTCACATGGTAATGGTGACCCACATAAAACAGGGTGTGGAAAAGATGTTACAAACACTGCACATCCAGAAATAATCTGATTCAATCCACAGGCCACATCTAATATTTAAGGTACAGATGGGCAGAACAAGTCCCAAGACACGCAGTTTTTAATGTGCCTGGTGAGGATGATGTCACATCATCCACAGATTGAAGGCAGAGCAGCTTTGTTTCCTGGGCTGCTGTTCGGTAATTAAATAAAATGCTGCAAAATATAAAGACTTCCACAGAAAGTCTTAAGTAATATGAGTTTCAGCCTCTTAACTGTTCATAATCCTCCTATGATGCATTTTCTTCTGTAGTTAACAAAAATAAAAGCAACTTCATATAGAATTCAGCTAATGTTTGATACATACAAACTAATGTTTGATATGGGATAGGCCCAAAATCTGAGACCATTCTGCACTTGGGTCTTAGAAAATGCATTATTGTGTTAAATTGCAAGTCTGCTCTTCTTACTGTGGCAGAAATCCCTCCCATTTGCAATACTCCTAACACTGTTAAACTGATACTAAATAAAGGAGAAAATTAAAGCAAATTTCTTGATACTTTATTAACACAATTTTGGAGGGACTGGATGAGCTATGGCTTTTAGATAATCTATCCATGATCAGTTTATCTGTGGACACGTCACCTCAGTCTTGGCAACACGTTCAGCTTCTGGCTTCTCCACTGAGGCTGCCAATAAGAAATGCAGCCCCATGAGAAGCAATGTCACAGATGCCACAGTGTCATAGCAACAAATGGACACAAGAAAACTGCAGATTGTAAACCCAAAGTCCACATGGTGAATCATTGCTCATACCTTGAAATCCTACATAGTTTCATGCATATTTCTGGTCAAAAGTTTGTGAAAATACAGTGAGATTCAAAATAGGTCCATAGGATCCAATGAAAATATTCTCTGACTTCCTATTTTGGAGCAAAACAGTAATAATTACTCTTTCTGTGGGGACTTTGTTGTTGGTGGTGGTTATTTTTGTTTTGTTTTTATTTTGTTTTTAAACAAGCCATTCACCCCCTCAACACAATTTATCTAGATGACATTTTCTGTACAAACAACTGAGAATATCATGTTGGGTAGGAGGAAAACTGAGAAATGAAGATAGGAGCTGTAAATAGGCAAGAAACTTCAGGTCAAACATGTCATGAATTTTGTTGAGGTTTGTTGCTATTGACAGTAATGTTTTCTTGGTTTCTATTTAGCTTTACCCATATTGGAAAAATAAAAGGAGACCCAGAGATGTCATTCCTCACCCAACTTCAATAGCTTCAAATGGTATCTAATGTCAAAATTCTCCTTTCTGAATATCACAGCCTGCATTTTTCAAACTCTTACAAGTAGTTTCTAGGTTTTTGTTTTTTGTTTTTTGGGTTTTTTTAATGGGTGGCATCAATATGTTGTTATAAATGAAACAACTGCCAGGACCCAGGCAGCTGAATGCATCTGGCCTTGCTCTATGGTTGGATGCAACAGAACTAGGTATTGACACTGCAGGATGTACAAAGTTGTGTGTGTCTCTACAGAGCTGTCAGGTTTAGGATCTGCTTTGATGGCCCATTTTAGCTGAGTCCAGAGGTGTTCCCAGAACAAAGTTTACAAAGCAGAAAGTGCATATGGACAGAACACAGAATCAAGACCGAAGTCCTTTTTGTTTGCCAAACATTTCACAATTCTCTTTCTAGCTCATGAGAAGTAAGTTTGGAAAGAGGAAAGCAAATGTGGATTAAAATGCTTTTGTATAAAGCATTAGAGTTTTTTTCTTTACTTCTAATTATTGGTACCTACACTGCCAGGAAATTCTTACAAGTGGCCTCGGATGTTTCTTTTGCTTCTTTATCCTGTTTACAGAGACAAACTAGACTCCCTGTGGGCCTGATCCTCCATAATGAAGCAAATGGAAAGTTTTTCCACTTACTTCAAAGGGAGCAGGATCTGGTTCTAAGTAGGATTCCTTGTTTGGCATAATGGAGGTTACATAAGGTAAAACTTGCTTTTTTATATCAATTTTCTAGGTGACCAGGATGTCGTAACCCTTGCAAATATTATCTACCTCCTCTTCAGATATCTTGTGCAGCTCTATTCATAATCCCCAGCTAAGTTTTCACATTATCTGATTCCAGCTGTGCCCAGAACTCAGAGATGCAAGATGTGCCACTCACTTTCAGGACATTTAAACAGGGGAATTTACTCATTACTTTGTGATTCAGGCACTCAGTGCTAAAATATTGAGTCTCATTTCCCTTTCTGCTTCCTCCATTCTTAAGACATTCACCAGGAGCTGGGGACCTGCTGTAAGTCAGGTACAGCGTTTCAGCCTGACAGCTGTTCCTCATGTGCAGTTTGTTACAGATTGATAATGGAGTTACTGCCACTGCAGGCAAAAATAAGAGGGCAGCTTGCCCTCAAAATCAGTAATAATCAAGGTAGAATTCAGAAAGAAAACAATAAGAAAGCAGAATGAAATATGGACTGAGGGAGAGCCAGGTGTGTGTGCAAAGCCTGAGGGAGGTGAATTCAGGCAGAGGGTGGAGTTGTGTCTTGAAACTGGTACAGACTGAGTGATATTATCTTGATACTGTTCAAAAAGTTCTTCAGGATGTCAGTCTGAATATTCAGCTGAACACTATCACTGATTTTTCTCCAGCATTACCAATTCAGTGAATTTTGAAGCAGCGGCAGCTCATTCACTCACTTACTGCTATGGAGATCAAAACCTATACGGGCTCAGGTGCTGCCTCAAGTGTCCCAGCTCTACTTATCCCTGCCAAGTTCCCGCAGACTTCATTCACCAGTCACCAAGTATGAGCCAGAAACTGAGTTCCCTCAGAAAACACCCATATGTGTAGTAGCTTTCTGACATACACATGTATTAAACCTATTCCCAGACAACAGCAAGTGACAGAGGAAAATAATGGCTTTTCTCATTCCTGATTAGAACAGGAATTTGAGCTGTCCATCTGCGCACAGCAGGCACTGTAATCTGGGATCGCCCATCAAATCATCCATTCTCTTCATCACTTTGGAAAAGATAAAGGAAATTTTTAGTTTGGCCTCTTATAAGTTGTATGTACTCTCCTTAGGACTTGATATACAAGGATTTCTTATAAATCTGCATGGATATGTCTTTTCATTTGGAGAGACCACAGAGCCCATTTGAACTGTAAGAGAAACAAAGCAGAACAGCAGACACTGTTTCATTTAACCATGCAAAATGACCCAGGAAGACTCAATTTACTACAAGCAGGTAAGGGATAGCATCTGATGCCATTGTAAACTGTGGTGTCCCAAATTTTCTCCAGCGACATTACAGAGTGAATACAGAGTCCAAAGGCAAACATTTTTTCTGAATCAGCAACAGTTGCTCTGACCTGGAAGGCTTCCAAATGTAACCTTCATTCATTAGGAAAAAAGCCCCCAAACAGACTGAGAGTAGCCCAGGAGAAAGAGCAACAACCACAATGTTGACTGAAAAGACAATAGGTAAAGAAACTACATAGGCAGAGAGAAAGCAAGAGGCTTCAAGTATTATACAAAGCTAAACAGAGTTTAGAACAATTTAAAAACTGAAGGACAAAGAGGTGAAATATTTTCTCTCAGCTGTGGATCAGAATTCAGGTGAAGAAGCTTTGTGCAAAGACGACTAAGTATCATGTAATTTCTTGGAACTGCTGTATGAAAACAGAATAAAGTTCCACACTATGTGCTATAAATCCAACAGCAGTTACAGAGATTGATGGAAGAACTACTGGATAAAACTCATGGCTGAGTATAGCATGTCAAGCTAAATTATTAGAACTGATCATCCTGGCATTAAAATCCACAAGGCTATAACCTCCTCTATGTCCTGATTCAAAGCTGCTCGGGTGGTTGATGTACAAATCAAAGCCTTTGGCAACAACACCAGACTTGTAACAGCATGACTGTACTATGAGACAGATGAGGGAATTAATCCAGATTAAAAATACTAGTGCCAAGGGAAAAAAAACCCTCAGTTTAGGTTTTTTCCAAACATGGTTTGGTTTTACAGCCCAATTTATACATAACTCAGAGCATGACTTAGGTGACAGCATCAAAAGAAGCAGTAAGGTCTCAAATTGAGATTATCTAGAAAAAGTTTACATCATGAAGCCACAGTCCGAGAACACACTAAAATATAAACATAGAACTCACTTTCATGTGGCCATTAAAGCCAATATGATGGTGATTGAGTATAGCAAAACATTTGTGTTCCTTTCCTGGACTAATACCCTCTAAATTCAGGTTTGTCAGTTTGTAAACATCTACTCTTTTCAAAACTGATTAGAAAACTTGAAGCATGAAGAAGCCAGAATATCAGCATTTAAAGCCTCAGTTTTCATCTTTCAACGCTGACAGCCTGCATTAGTGACAGGAGCAACCCCAGCTAAATGCACTTGGAGAGCAGGAGTGCAAGAATGCAAACTATTCCAGGTGATGCACAGGGGACTTGAGACTGGTATCATGAAATGGGGAGGTTTGTACCATCACACTGTCTGCCTGCCTGCATCGTTTTCTCAGATCCATTCCCGTCAATAACTTTGGAAGACACCATCCAGTTTCAAAAATATTTGTGAGAGCAGCTGAACTCTCAATACAGTGAATGGGAAAGAGCCTCAGAGAAAATGCAGTTATCAGAGTACTGAGGAAAAGCAGATGAAGGGAGGTGTCATAAAAATTAACTCCATAATGTTTCCAAAGTACTCAAATATTGCAGCAATGAGCACAGTGGAGAAGTCCATGCAGGCCTAAAGACCTTTGTATCTAAGGATCAGGATATGTCAAGTGATGCAGTGTTACCTATGGAACAAAAGGATAAAGTGAAATATAGATGTGATAGAGAAATCCCCTGGATGTCAATGCTTAATCTGCTGTACCAATACATTTATATGCATTCATATAAATCAGTGTCATAAACTACTCAGGCTTTAGCTGAAAACGGGCTTGTTTCCTAACTAGTGGCATGAATCTTGCCTCTGCTGAGAGCCACCCTGCCCTGCCCCACCCTGCCCCACCCTGCCC